CGAGTTACCTCCCTGGCTGGGTGAGAGGCACTTAGACACCGCTGTGTTAGAGCCTTCCCCACCCTTTCCCAGGTCCTAGGGCTTGTCCATGCAGAGGCGTGTCTGGCCACTGCCCCGAAGACCCAATCGTCGCCCCTGATCTTGGGATGCTGCCCCAGTTTACCTTCATTGGATGGGATTTGCCCTAGAATTTTTTGTTCCCCAATAAAACCCCACTCCCTGGCGTGTTCTCTTTCTCTCACTATTCTCTTCTGTAAACCTCGCCATCACATTAGGTTGCTGGAGGCAGGAGCTAGGAGAAGCCTCTTGGAGCTGGTATTAAAGGTAATGAGAGTCTTGTCTCTTTAATTTAAAACTCCCTAGCAATTACTTATCGAACCTTCTTTCATGAAGCCAGTGCTGGTCACATGGCAGAATGTGTGCTTTTGGATTTTGCTTTGGACACTGAAATTTTCTAACAGAGAAAAAAAGTAAGGAAAGAACAAATGGAGACACATCAGAAAGTGGTTGCCCAAAGAGGTCAAATGATTAACACTGAGCTTGTTGGAGACTTAAAATTTGTTCAAAATATGGATTCAAACAGTGAGCCCCTTTCAAAAGACCCATTTTACAATCTAATTCTCCCTTTCCCTCTCTCCCTCTGTGTTACATCCCCCAACTGTTACTATAATATTAACAAGGATCAGTGAGAAACTAAAAACAACAAAATGAACATTGATTTGAACTTCAAGATCAAAACATTCACCTCCATGAAATAATGCCTAGTGAATTCCTAGATAAATTATTTTTATGCAAGTAAATATCCATTACCTTCTGGGATATACATTCAGAAGCAACTTTTATTTTTATTATTTTCTACATGCGTACAGTGTTTCATGGTTATGGTGTTTTGTGTTCTAATAGTTATTTGAAGTCCTACTGTCATTAGTTGTTCTTCAGCATCATATTTTATTTTACTTTTTTGGGTACTTTATCAGATTATTTGTCATACAATGGTTTAAGATGATTTAGACTTTGTAGGTTAAACAATGTAACGTAAATCATCTCATTACTGCTTGTGGTGGTTGGTGGTTTGTTGAAAATCTGCCTTCAAATGTTTTATCTTAGACAATGCTAAGTTCAGTTATATTAAAGGGACATTTCAAATGCTATTTCTCACATCCTTCTCCTAAACCATCCCTGTAAATCCTGAGCATACAGGACTGTTGATACAACTCATGCACATTCCCATGTATGGCTGGTGCATTCCACATGAATGTATACACACACACTGCTCCTTATTCTGACATCTGCCAACAGTAGTTGCAGGATTCAGGCCCAAGGAAGGCCATGAGCTCATTTTGTTTTCTCAGAAAGCCACATGACTGCAAACTTCAACCAAAGAGACATTCAAGACACTTAAGTGTCCCAAATCAGAATCTGCTTGATTTTACAAATTGAGATGACCATGAACATTTTGTTTACAAAATCCTAGAAAGATGTGGTTGAGAAGAAATGGAATCTAGAAAAGTTAAGAGACTTGTTTAGGATCATTCAATGAGCAAGCATCAGAGCCCAGAGATTGAAAGGTAAGTCTTCAAATAGGCATTCCAAAAAATATTGAGCAGGTGGTGTGGTGCAGAGGACAATCCATAAGTGGTTCCTCCATTCACGCCCTCCTCTATCCAGCTGATACCAAGCACACTGCCTGGAAGCAGATAAAGCAATGACAAGGGCACTGAACTGCAGCCCATTCCTGAAGACCGCATTAATTTTGTTTTTAACTCAGGGGTGAGGTGGGAGGGGCATTAAACCCATCTCCTACAAGAGGGTTCTTCACTTAGAAAAAGGTTAACTAAGGATGCCTTTAAATAGTACACCATAAAGGTGTTCAAAGACTCAGAGAATGTCATTGGCAATTTTTAGGAACAGCTTTTATCTAAAAGAAAGTGCAGAGGTGTGCAGGGTGGGAGGGGCCCTGTGGGGGAGGATGTCCCCTCCTGCTAAATCGGCCTTCCATGTGCTCTCTGTGCTCTCCAACCAACAGAAATCACACTGAACACTAAATCCCAGCATGCAGAGCCTTCTCTGAGAACATGTCAAGTGTGACCAGTATGAGGACCAAAAGTTTCCTAATTAAAAGATGAAACATTCAATGTTCTCCCTGAACCTCAGAATAGCACCTTCTAGTGTCTCTGATACAAAATGTAAGGAAATAGCTCTTTATTCTCTTATTACAGTAATAACTCCTGAGGAAATAGGAGTTAAAAGTTAGTGAGAACCATGAGTTAAGTCCAGTGTAGCCCTTCCATGTCAATGATAAATGTGGAAGAAATTCATTGCAAATAATTTATGAATTGAATTTTAAACATTTTACCAAAAAGAAAAAGTTGTTTTGCCTATCAGGCTTCAACTAGACTATGCCCTAATTTATACAGCAACTGGTATAAATCAAATCCAAAAGTTTAAAATACCTTTTTACCCTCAGTATATGGATTTGTCTTTCCTCTTTCAACAGCCCCTTCCACATTCCTCCAGGAAAGTTAGCAGGTTTCTTTTTTACCCCTAATTACAAATGGGGGTGCCTTTATTTGTATGTTAACCTCACCTATGTTATTAATAAAGTCATGGAATTATTAATAAGTCATTTCTGAGCCTGGGGGTGTCCTCAATGGTACAGCCAGTGCACAGCATGCAGGAGGCCTCCGGATTCCTTTCAATTCCCAGGACCAAAACAACAACAACAAAAATAGTAATTTCTGATGATTAGGTGAAAATGAAATGAACTGTCATCAGTTTGGAAAGACAGACATTAACTAGAATTTTTTTAAATCTAAAGAATGTAGTTCATAATTTTTAAATTAACTTTATTAACTATTGTCAATGTGTATATATTTATGGGGTACCAAGTGAAGCTATTATTTATGTACATAATGTGGAATGGTTAAATGAATCTAATTAACATCTCTCTCACCTCAAACACTGATCATTTGGGGATGAGTTTTTGAAATCCTTCAAACGTGGCCTCCACATGAGGAGCCAGGTAACTGGGTGAGACAGACAGACAGACAGACACACACACACACACACACACACACACACACATAGGGGCAGTGTACTATTCTCTTCTTGGGTGTCATTAAAATTTTCCATAATAAAAAAGTTTAAAAATAGGCTTCCCCTTTTCCCCCTTTATTGAAGGAAACCCTCCTGATCGTGATGATTCCATTTTCATGCAGAAGGCATGTGTGGGGAGGTGGGGTACAGTGGGAAAAGGCACCAAACCAGCAGCATACACAGGTTTGCTCCTTGCAAAGGAGCCAGGGGCTGTTAGAGACGGGCAGGAAGGGAGCAAGGAAGGGAGGCCAAGGGCATTTGCTCATACATCCACAGGCCTGGCACCTGTGGTGTAAATCTCCTAAAAGACAGTCAACACAATCGCCAGACGTGCAGCACGCAATTCTTTTGAAAATTCGGCTCCAGCTTCCTACTGCCCTTGCCAGAACAGACACGAGATTGCTGCCCGCCACCTTGGCCATGGGTTGCCACGCTGGCTACTTACTGCAACCGGAGTCCTCTTTGAGGACCACTTTCCCCGCACCGACGCCAGCTGCATTGGCAAAGGCATCCTAGCAAGGAAAAGTTGGCTCGCTCTAGGATTTGTTATGAGGCTAGTCACCCCACAGGCTGCAGGTCTGCGCAGCACGCCGCCTCTCCTTTTGGGCTCTAGACCAAACCCGCTAGGTTGTAAGAGGGGGTCGGACAGATACACAGCTCAGACGCGCGCGTGCCCCACCGCCTGACTGTAAACTAAAAACGGAGCCACGGAATAATGTCCAGACCAAAATCAGGTCGGCCAGTAACTGCTGCGTTGGACATCCGGACGAGGCTAGGGAAGGCGCAGGCATCCGGTCCCTGCCAGCAGCAAAGGCGCCAGCGCGTCTGACGCCGCAGAAGGTTGCGCGCACCTGAAGTCCGGGTGCCAAGTGTCCAAGCTTCTGCATGCAAGTGGACCACCGCAGAAAATGAGGGCTACCTCCTGCCGTCCACAGAAGCCAAGCAATCCCTCCAACATGTCCATAAAGCACAACTGCGGGAACTCACACTACTGGGGTCTTATAGAGACCAAAGCCCCTTCCCTAAGAAAAGTGCCCAACTCCGTGGATGACCCATTCTTCTTTCTCTCCACTACTCCGAGAGCGCACATGAAAAGACAGAAATCACGCCTAGGGAAAGAGAGACTACAGTTTGAACCCCAAAAGCGCATCTGCTTGCTCCCATTTCGGCGCCAGAGCCGGCGGCTCCCAGGGCTGCAGGCTGTCGCGCTGCCAGGGGACAGACAGATCACCAAAGCTGGTCTTGCCGTGGCCGGCAGTGAGGGGCTTCAGAAGTCCTCGCCGCCGCCCTGGTAACCGGTTGGTATTCCCCATCCCAAACGCGCTTGCACCCTTGCTTTCCTTTTCCCCTCATCTAGGCTACTCCGAAGTCTGTTTCCCTTCCCTGTCCCTAGTCCGCGGCGGCTACTCTGCTCACCGGCAGTGTCGGTCTCCTCTGGGTCGCTCCGGGGGCTGGGGAGGGGGGTAGTTCCAACCTGCAGAGCCGATGCCCGCCGCACGCTCCAACGGCCCTGGGCAGTCTGGTTCCCCAGCGCTCCCAGGACTCAGTCTCACCAGCTCCTACGGACTTCGCGCAGCATCCCCTCCGTGTCGCTGGGGTGCCCCGGGTGGCGAGAAGCCAAGGTGCAGCACGGGAGGATAGCACCCAGTTCCTTCCTGCGAATTTTCCCCGCCAGCTCCTGTTTTCCCTCTCGCCCGGCGGCCCGCGACTCCCAAGTCCCGCCACTGCGACCACCCGGACTTACCGCGGGCGCCAAGCCGCCACCGGGTCTGCTCGGTACAAGGCGGAGCCACGAAGCCCTTCGCTGCAGGGCAGCCTCCCGCGCCCGCCACCAGCACGCGGCCCCCGCCCCACCCCCGTCCACCCCCCAGTTCGTCCGCTCCGCCGGGGCGGTCGGGACTTACCTCCGGGACAAGGTGACCCGGCTGGTGCGCCCAAGCGGCCGCCCGCGAGTCTCCGGAGCCAGCGAGCGTGCGGGGCGCAGGGCGGTGCGGCGCCCGCCTCTGCTCCTCAGCTCCCAAGCTCTCTCCTTCTCTGCCCTCCCCTTCGCTCCCCTCGGCGCTGCTTCGCTCCTCTCCCCCCGCCGCTCCCCGCCCAGTGCTCGCCGCCAACGCCCCCGGCTGCCCCGCGCGTACGGGAGCTCCGGGAGCCGGCAACAGCGGCAGCCCGGGCGGTGGGGAGTCCGGAGCGGCTGGGGCGCCGGGGCGGAGTCGAGTCCTCTGGGCCCGGGAGGAAAGAAAAGGGTGCGAGGAGACTCCAGTGGCGTGTTGGGCGCGGGGCGCCCGGGGGCGCGCCGCTCTGCTTGCCTTGTCTGGCGACGCGCGTGCGAGAGGAGGCAGCCTTGGGGCCCTGGGGAGGAGGGCAGCTAGGAGGAGGAAAAGGGAGCGGCCCCGCTCGAAGGAGGCTGCCAACTTCGCCCTAGGCCAGCGGGGCCCTCCCGGGTGTTAGCGTCTGGTGGGTGGCCCGGGGCCAGTGTCTGGAAATTGAGGGTGACAGAGGCTGGGGGAGGGGGACAGACACTGGGGACTAGGAGGACAGGAATTTTCAGCCTGACTCCGGGAAGCGTTGTCTCCCCTCGGTCCTAAAGGCCTCCCCAGGCTTCAATTCGGTTTTGAGGTTCATGACAACTCACTGTGAGGGTCAGGCGAATTTGTTCAAGTCCTGACCAGCTAAGCCATTGATCGAGGAGAAAGCAGGCGGAGAGCGGATACTCGAGACCCCTAAGCTCCGAACCAACCAGTTGTTAGCTCAAGAAGGGCCCACAGTAATTGCAACTGAAAGGAAACCAGGGCGGCAGCGGTGGGGGCGGGGGTATAATGATGGCAGAAGAGTAGGTAGTGGGGAGCCTAGGGAAGGCCGCCTATCAAGACAGGCTGAATTTCAAACGTCGGTGAAGGCCGGAGGGCGAGAAAGAGGTGTTTTCATTTTAGATTTTCTTGAGAAGTAACTATGAAAGAAAGATCCGCCAGAAAGAGGGTCAAAAGTTATTTAGAATAAAATCTGTGCGCCCCTCTTTCAACACCAGGTGGAGACCCGCCGCGCGTTCCAATCCTGCCAACCCAGGCTCGCGCCCTGGTGGTCAGGCTGAATACGTTCCAGGATTCCATGTTTCTGTAGTTCTATGTGCAGAGCAGAGCTGCCTGAAAAGCCTTTGCTCATGAGAAGGCGCTGCGTCTTGCCTTAGGTCTTCACTGTTGGGGTTGCCACAAGGTAGAGGTTGAAGGGAATGTGGGGCTGTACTGCGTTCCCTTTGTAGGAACCTCCCCTTTGCGTCCCTTTCTGTAGAACATCAGCTCCTCCAAAACAATACTAGAATGTAGAGTGCAGCCAGAAGGAGGCATTTGGGAGGAGGAGGAGGAGGAGGTCAGGGGAACCTGCCATACTTCTACAGTTCTTTGCTTGGAAACATTTAAGTTCGTCTTTGCACCTGAATAACACTCCCATCACCTTCCTCTGTAGCATCTAGACACTCCTGGGGTTTCCACCTCTGAACTACAGAGATGCAAGGCAGTGGTCTGGAACACTCTGAGAAAGTATATTGTGCATTTCTCCCATCTAATAGGAAAAACAGTTTACCATCTTAAAGCAGTTTACCATTTCTAGGTCCTTTTCTAAACAGAACATATTCTCATTGGAACTGCAAGGGAAAGCAGATTTTGTTAGATCCATTTGAGTTGGAGAATCAGTATTCCTGATTATCAGATGAAGAAAGGGATGTTTTAAAAGGCCCACTGAGCTTCCCCACAGCCATCCAATATGCAGGAGTAGCCCCAAAGTCAGCAAAGACAGGTTCCCTACCTCTAGCCAAGGCTTTTTTTTTTTTTTTTTTTTTTTTTTGGTGCACCTTTGGGTTGGCTTTGGAGGCAGATTTTATTTTGCCAAGAGAACACCTGCCTGGGTAACTGCCAGGGCTTGCTTTTACCTCTAGGGTATTGTTTGAATTTTAAATTGGATTTTTCCTAATATAGCAGGCAAACACCCTGTGGAGTGCATCATAAAACATGACCACAGTTACCTGCTGGTTCTCCTCCCTCCCAAAGTGAGTGGAATAGAAGTTAAAGAAAGAAAATGCCTTTGCAGTTACTTCCAGTATTTAGTTCTAGTGGACTATCTTCATGTCTTCATGTCCTAGTTCTTTGAAAGTGTTCTGCTGGATGCTTTGGAACTCTATACCAGCCCTTCCAGGGAATGTTGAGTATGGACACACATAGTGTGTGTGTGTGTGTGTGTGTGTGTGTGTGTGTGTGTGTGTCTGCATATATATATAATGCATATGTATATATATATTTTTAAGTGGGTTGTACTTCCTAAAAAGATTTCTCCAGCTTACTTCTTTTAATCTACCTCACCCAATTTAGCATTTAAACATTCACATTTTATTTTTCTATTGTGGAACATACAACTTCTCTCCCACAGTTGAAGTTGCTGCATTTTATGTTCTTTCAACTCTTTGCTTAGGCACATCCCAAATATTGAGCAAATGTGTTGGATTGTTATTGAAGAAAAAAAAAACACATTGGATTATATTGTCATAAAAATGATGTCCACTGAAGAAAGAGGGTAGCAGCACACAGGGTCAGTTTCTTAATATCCTAGTTGTTTGAATGAAAAATGAAAAAAAAAATAGAACGTGGTGTACACTTAAATTTCTTCTTTTCTTAATTATTATTTCTCCTGTTATACTCATTTAGCCTTGAGATCTCAAATTATCGGTTGACTTTTCTTCACAGCAACACACACACACACACACACAGAGTTTAGTGTTTTTGTAACACAAATGACCTTACATTTCATTGCAAAAGAAATTTAATTTGGGGGGTGCAGGGAATCATGTGTAAATAGAGGGAAGTCACCTGTTCTTGACAGATGTAACTGCTCAGGGAAGAGATCCTGAGTTCCTGGTAGGCCTCAGTTGATCTGCAATGGGAGCAGCACCCACAGGCCAGTTTCTCTTAAACGCAGAACTCTAGTTGTTGCTCAGAATGTGATCGTAACTATTTTGCTATGATATAGCATTGAAATAAAGGCTTTCAAGAAAGTCAATGAAGAGCTGTCACATATCAGGCAGCAATAGGACACAGTAGAAATTGCCAAATCTCCAGGAAATTGGCTAACCTTCTCAACAATGCTTATCTCTCAGAAGAGATTACAGAACTCTCAGAGCTGAGAGAGGTCAGAGGGGCCAATTCCTGTGTTGTGAGAAACTGTCATTCAGGCACCAGCAAGCTGTCAAGCTTTTGGCCAACTTTCAGAGTACTCTGCTTCATGTCCAGAGATAGGAGACGTGATAAGAGAAACAACAGATTTGAGAGGTTTTCAAATCTGAAATATTCCTCAACATATTTTGAACTAAAAAGCTTTAGACTGTGGAGTTATTGGAAGCACGAGGATGCCATAGTGTGTGGGGCTCAACAGTGCCCTTTAAGAAACCGTCTGTATGTCACAGGTAAAAAAGGCTCAGCCATAGATTAAAAGAAAAAAATCAGTACCCAATTCAAAAGCTGTGGGTTAATCTATTTTTTTCCTCCCCCTCCCCACTCCCCCAAAATATTATTAAACTGTTTGGCTAAAGTCAATGATTTCCAAGAATTGAAAATCTGAGCTGTAAAGTTGAATCTTATTGACTTAGAAGGGTATGAAGATGTCCTTCGCAATGTTCAATATAGACATGATAGGGGAGGCTATAAGAAAAAGGTGAATTGTTATTAAAAAAAACTCAAAACCTAAAATAAGTCTGAAAAAAATGTTGACATGAATTCAGAACATAATAAAAAAATGCAATCAAATGTCAGAATGGTAGAGTGGGATGGGAACTTGATAATCACCTAGTTCCTCTCTTAGATATTATGCATGACGAAACAGTTCCAGAGGGGGTGGGCAGAGGAGAAGCTAATTCTAGGTCCAGTCTACTGACTTCTAGCAATCTAGCCTCTGCCTCCATTATATCCCTTTGGAAAGAGTCAAGAAAGAGAGAAAAAAAAAAAAAAAACAATATATTTTAAGTAACCTCTATATGTGCCAGTATATCAGCTATCTATTGCTTGCATAACAAAGTACACAAAAACTCATGGTTTAAAATGATAACCATTTATTTGTTCATGGTTCTGAAGGTTGCAAATTAGGGATAAGCCAGCTGAGGTCAGCTGCCTTTGCTGTGCATACTATATCTAGGCCCACTTGTGCATTTGCAGTCAGCTGGCTGTCAGGGGCCTTATCATATGCCTGGGGGTTGTGGGTGGCTGTGGGTCTCTCCTCAGAAGTCTCACCCAGAGTTCTTTACAACATGCTGGCAGCAAGGGAAGGCAAGTCTCCATGCTCTCCAGGCTGGCATCACATTGTCTTATTGACCGAAACAGTAAGGGCCCCCTCCCAGATTTAGAAGATGGGGAAACAACCTCAACTTTTTAATGGACATAACCATAAAATTGCATTGTAAATAGAGGAATGAAAAGAAATCATGTCCATTTTTGCAATTGACCACATCTGGCAATGAAATAAATTCTTCAGTTGTGTAACCTTATCCAATCTTGATCAGAGCTCTGTGGGGCCAGCAGGGATGATCCCAAGGAATTAGGAAGCTAAGTTTAGGGACTGAGTAGTTCATCTCTCTCCACATAGCTAAGGAGTGATGATTGGGACTCAATCCGGGCCTGTCTTCAAATTCCCTAATATCCAACATTAACAGAGTGTGTCTGTCAGGAGTTAGCTAAATGCTCACTGGGATGGTGAGAAGCTCAGACCTTGGAGCCAGGCAAACCTGGGCTCAAAATAATCATCTGCCACTTTCTATTATTCTATCTTGACTGATAGAGCTGAGCTTCCTCATATCTAAAATGAGCATGGTTATAATATCTGCTGCCTGGCATTATACAAGGCAAGGGTGTGTTCAGAGTGAGCAGCCTGTTTTTCTGAGCAGAGTCGACTGGTTATTATTCTTAAAGACAGGGGTAGCTGGGTGCATTTTCTA